TCATTCCTTCTATTTCAACCTCCATCTATCTCTTTCGGTTCATCCCTGCAATCACATAAATACATCAAGTTGATCTTCCCTCCTAAGAAATCAACACATATTTATCAGGGGCTTACTAAGCACCTGACACTATGTAAAGCACTGTCACTGCCTTCATGAAACTCTGAAGAGGTAGTAAAAATTTAAACTCAGACTAACAGAGTCTGTTCTGCTTCTACCCAAGAATTCATTTCTAAGAAACCTATTATCAAAGTCATGAAATAAAAGACACTGTTCAAAAGGAGCAAAAAGGAGTAAGGGACCGGATAGTTTCAGACTCAAAATACTAAATTCATTTTATCTGCAAGAATTTCAGTACGGTATCAAGTTCTCCTACCACTAGGCAAGTCCAGCTTTTAGTTGTATTCAGTTTTTGCTCAAGAGCAATGCCTTTCTTTTCCCAGCTCAATTAGCATTACCAAAAAAAAAGCAGAACTCTTCGCAAACATTATCAGAAACATCACCCATTGTTGTGATAAACAAAGCAGAAAGCCACCTTAAACATTTTTTGCCTACCCAACTTGTGTTAATTTCAATAGTGGTTTGCTTAATGCAAATCGTGTTCCCGAAATCATTTGCTTTTCTATGACATCCAATTCCCGCTATAAAAGGGGAAGTCTTGGGATGCTAGAGAAGCAAGCCAAGGGGTTCATACCCAGCATAGGCAGGTCAGGAAAGCCTGCCAAGGAAGTGAGACTTCAGGGATGAGTAGGAGGCAGTTAAGCAAGAGAGGAAAGAGAAGGGGGAAAGTTATGCCAAGGCAAAGAGAACAACATTTACAAAGGCCCTAAGGGGAAAATGGACACACAGGCTTCCAAGAACACAACACAGTGGAAAAAAGGGAGGATAGTGACAGGGGAAATCAAGTGAGAGGCAAAGGCCATGAGGTCTTGTGGGCTGAATTTACATTGTGAGCAACAAGAAGCCATTAAAGGGTTTAAGTGAGAAGTCACACAATCTTGCTTCATTTTAGCTACCTCTCCTCACTTCTTCCCTTCAAGTTCGGCAGTGTACACTTGCTAGTTTGCATTTCTTCCTGCCTTCTCTCCTGAACTCCAGTTATCCGCCTTGTGAAGTCCGCTGGTATGTCTCCCTTTAAGGTATCTGTTAATCTAGCTGCTTAATGTAATGGCCCTCTCAGGCTGGCCCTTACCTGTCAGGTGGCCCTGTTGACCCTCAACTCCCTCCACTGCTTTCCTCCCCACTTCTGCGGCTGTTCCTCACCAGTCTTTTTCACAAGCTCTTCTTTCTCTACCCGTCCTTTTTTTCTTTTTGAGACACAAGTCTTGCTCTGTCGCCAGGTTGGAGTGCAGTAGCATAATCTCAGCTCACTGCAACCTCCACCTCTGGGGTTCAAATGATTCTCCTTGCCTCAGCCTCTAGAGTAGCTGGAACTACAGGCATGTGCCACCACATCTGGCTAATTCATGTACTTTCAGTAGAGACAGGGTTTCACCATGTTGACCAGGACAGTCTCGATCTCCTGAAGTCATGATCCGCCTGCCTCAGCCTCGGCTGGTATTACAGGCATGAGCCACCGTACCCAGCCCATCCTATTAAATGTTGTCTGTCCAGATTCTGTCCTTGGCCTGTGGTATTTCCAAATGCTCTGTATCTTCCCTGGATGATCTCATCAATATCCAAGACACCAAATATCAACCATGAGCTTATGATTTCAAAAATCCCATTTACTCAGACCTCTCTCCCAAACTCCAAATTTATACATTCAACTAGCTTCATTTCACTGTCTTGCAGGTACTTCAAATGGAGTTAAACAGTTTCAAAACCAAGCTTATATATAACTTATACTCCTTTACCATTTCATTTCAAATCTCTATCTTCCCTCCATCCTTCCTGCCACTGCCCAAGTGCAGCACATCATTTCTCTTCAGGTTTACTCCAACCAACTACTTCCCTGTGCTGCATGCCTACACTTTGCCCATTCAGCCCACTAGCTGTCAGAACAATCTTGCTAAGAAGTAAAATGATCTGCAGGGCACAATGGCTCATGCTTGTAATCCCAATACTTTGGGAGGCCGAGGTGGGTGGATCACCTAAGGTCAAGAGTTCAAGACCAGCCTGGCCAACATGGCAAAACCCCGTCTCTACTAATAAAGTAAAAAAAAATTAACTCGTCATGGTGGTGTGTGCCTGTAATCCCAGCTACACTGGAGGCTGAGGCAAGAGACTCGCTGGAACCCAGGAAGCAGAGGTTGCAGAGAGCTGAGATCGCCAACACTGCACCAGTCTGGGCGACAAAGCAGGATTCCATTAAAAAAAAAAAAAAAAAAAAAAGAAGTAAATATGATTATGGTATTTCCAGGCTTACAATTCCACAGTGAGTTCCTATTAACCAGCTCAAATTCCTTAGTATGATGTACAAGGGTCTTCTAAGCTCTGCCTTATTCTCCAGCACCTTAACTTCACACCAGTCTCCAGGCTAAACTGTGGGTGGTTCTCTCAGCATTTCACCCTCAGTGTCTTTGTGCACTCCCTCCTTCCTGGAACACTAATTCTCTTCACCTCCCTTGTCTTCTTCGCCTGGCCAACGTCTTTCAAGACTCAGGTGAGGTCCTCCCTCCCCCAAGAAGCTTCACCAGTACTCCCATGTGCACCTCTTTTTGCAAAATACAGGACTCCTAGGTACTCACCTCTACAACACCCTTAACTTGAAGCTAGCTTTACATGTATCACTTTTAAGTTTTCATTTGCTTACCTGTTTACAGGGCTGCATCCTTAAAAACTGGGACTCTGTCTTTCAACAAGAATCCTGGGTGTCTAACACTAGCATATAACAAGCATGTTACGAGTGAATTAATAAAAATATGGAACTACAATGAGGCCCAAAGAGAACAAGCCCCAGAGTGTGAGCACCTCGAGGGCAGGAACTTTGTCAGGAGCAATTCTCTGCTGAATCCCCAAAGCCCGAAGTAAAAGCTGCAAAGTCACTGGAGGTCCAGGCATATGTGTGGAATGGCTGAATGAATGTTCTAAGGCCACAGGAAAACACACAGTCCAAACTTCCTGACTTGCTTTCCATTACTAACTTTCTTGGTTTGTGACCTACTTTTACTGTAACACCAGTGAGCATGGCACGGTTTCTACTGACCAAACTAATGGTCTTGTTTTTCCATTAGGAAAAAATAATAGTATGAGCATTGACCAAACAAGTAAACTACAAGATTCCTCAGTAAGAATCTATAGGATTTCCTGATCTCTTTGAAAATGGATGTGAAATCTTCAGTGGATGAAAGTTTATTTTTCTGGAAAGAGTAATCACAATTCTCATTGAATTTTCAAGGATACTAGTGGTACCGAAGAAAATCAAATTTCTTAAACCAAAATGTTAAGCTGAATTTTTATATTCATTTTCTCTTTTCAAATCTATTTTGATATATAACTTATCCCTTAGAGACAGGAGCCTCTACTAAAACAAATCTAATTGGAGAAGATGCAGCTGGCAGGCTCTCTCTCACATTAAGATTCCTACCAGAATTTGCGTTTCAGATTGTCTATAACTGGAAGAGTCCATACCAGCATTCTTTAAAACTTAGAGCCCCATTCTAACATACTCTATCATGGGAATCAGGATATTTATACTTCCCTAGTAATGTGTTCGGGAAGAAAACGTTACTTTCTGAACACATTTTTCACTGTCATCTAATTAAACGGAAAGGGGAAAAACCCAGGATTATCCACATTTACAGGAAAGCCCTTCTTTTCTTTTACTTTACACAGAGAACCAAACATCAGAAGCAGCATTAACAACCGTCACCAAATTCAATCTTGGGAACAATATGGCAAGAATTAAACGGAGGGGTAAGCAATTAAGTCATTTTAAAAGCCAGTTTTCTTTTACTTTTTTTAATGTAATTTTTTTTCTTTTTTTCCCTAGACTGCTCAGCAGTTCTGTTTGAATCAAAAGGTGGTCTAGTTGACATAAAAAAGCGAATCACAAGTGTTCATACTACAGACTGCATCTATGTGAGTTGAACAGGCACAATTACTCTCGGGCGATAGGCGTCGTAACAGGGTGCCCCCTGGGAAAGGGATGAGGGCACTTTCTCAGGACATGGAAAGGTTATTTTGATTTGAGGGGGCCTGCAAGGGGGATTCACTCGTGACACTCGTTTGGGAGCACACGAGATCCGCGTTTCCCTGTAGGGAAAGGGTACCTCAGTAAGGAAAACGGTAAAGAGAACAACACGCTATCACTGGACAAACACAAGCCGAGCCGCTTTCGTTCCGAGAAGGCTCTGTGGGGCACCCTACGCTGGGCGCCGCTGGGCTGTGACGGAAAATGAAGACGGCCGGGGGTGGGGAGGGGCCCAGGAGTGAGACCACGGCCAGAGGCCACGAGCCACCCCCAACCACCGCGGTTCCGCCAGGAGGGCTTCGCCTCGAAGAGGGCTGAGGCGGCCGACCCGGCGCTTACAGCTCCAGCTCGACTAGGACATCGCGGCCCTGCTCGCCCGCCCCCGCCCTCGCCGCTCCCGGGGCCACCGGCTGCCCGCCCCGCCACAAAACACCCAGCCGAAGAAAGCGCTGTCCACAGCGGCGTGGTAGCGACTGCGAGGCTGCAGCCCTGACGGGCGCGGCCCAGCGCCCCAACACTGGCTGTCCGTGCTCCCACACGGATTCCCCAAGGACCCCAGACTCAGGCCGAGCAACGCTGGCGGCGTTTCCAGGCGCTACACAAGAAGCTGCTGGGGCGCCGCCTTCCAGAACTAACTGCGCTTGCGCTAACCATAAGGCCGCTCAGCTCAAGTCTGCCTTTTTTTTTTCCTCTCCCCCCGCCCCGGGAGCAAGAGAGCGGTCAGCGCAGGCGCGCCCCTGACGCGGCCCGCACCGCCACTTCCGCCCCGAGCGAGAAGCGGGGGAGGCGGGAGGGAACCTGCGGGCAGGGCACGAGTCCGGGTCTCGGAGGAGGTCGGTGGCTGCCGCGCGGGTCCGCGACTCACCAAGTACAGTGGCTGCCAGCGACGATGAGCATCCAACTCCTCAAACTCCTGCTCGATGGTGGTGGGCATGGCGGCAGGCACGAGCTGGCGCGAGCAGAGCCTGCGCCGGCTGAGAGGCTCAGGCCCCGCACAGTCCGCGGAGAGCGCTCTCGCTGCGGCGCATGCGCGCTGCGCGTCGCGCCCCGCCCCCACGCCGAAGCCTGGTCGGCTGTAGGGAAAGTACCTGGAGCGTCGGACGTCAGCGCGCAGACTCTGCGCCCGAGCGCTGCGCGGAGTTCGCGGCGGGGCGGGGCGGGGCGCTCTGGGTAGGGGGGGCGGGCTCGAGAGCGCCCAGGTGGGAGGGGGCGGGGTCGGGGGACCTTCCGTCTGCCTTGGTCCGGGCGCACGGAAGGAGGGGGCCCGCCCCTTGGCTGCCGCCTTCCGGTGCTAGGGAGGCGGTGTTGTCGGTAGCGCGCGGTTACTGGAGTAGGACTCCATCATTAAGTATCCTGAGATTTTCCGGCACGCTCCGCCTTCCTTCTTGCTGTCCCGTTTCTCGTTTTTTTCTCGGCCTTCGTTTTTCAAGTGGGGTACTTGAGTTTTATTTTAGACATTATCAAGGTCAGTTTAGCGGCCGGTGACCAACTTTGGAACAAATTGCTCATCCTTCTCTGCCCTCGTGTCAGCTCTTCTACGCCTGCAGATTTTATGCCAAATAAACCGCTGTAGCAAAAGGAAAGGCAGCTCTCCCAGTATTTGGCAGAATACACCTTGTTAACAAAACGTTCTACAACTTAAGAATTAGGGTTATAAAAAAGCACGCTGTCTTTTTTTTTTTTTTTTTTTTTTGAGACGGAGTTTCGCCCTTGTTACCCAGGCTGGAGTGCCATGGCGCGATCTCGGCTCACCGCAACCTCCGCCTCCTGGGGTCAGGCAATTCTCCTGCCTCGGCCTCCTGAGTAGCTGGGATTACAGGCACGCACCACCATGCCCAGCTAATTTTTTGTATTTTTGGTAGAGACGGGGTTTCACCATGTTGACCAGGATGGTCTCGATCTCTCGACCTCGTGATCCACCCGCCTCGGCCTCCCAAAGTGCTGGGATTACAGGCTTGAGCCACCGCGCCCGGCGCAGCACGTTGTCTTTTACCAAACGTGTTGGTTAGGGAAATCATGTTCCTTCAAATTTAAGACAGTTCATTGTTAGTGAACTCAGCTGCTTGCCCTATCCTACTATATAGTCTTCATAAGAAACGTGAAGGGTTAGGAAAGGTTTCGCTGTGCTGTCCGGTATTGTGATTTAAATTTTAGATATTAAATGAAATCAATTCCTCACTGGCACCAGCCACATTTCTGGTGCGCCGTAATCACGTATGACTTGCTATGTGGCAAAGCAAATAGGTAGAACATTTCTATCATGGAAGACAGTTCTTTTGGACAGAGCCAGCCGAGAGGACTAAAATACCTGGGACAGAAAAGTGTCCTTAATCACGTAAAATAATGAAAACCCTATCAAGAAAAAAAAGCTAGAAGAAATCGTATTAACAAAAAATTAAGCATTCAGCAAGCTTTCTGCTTACATAGTGTGATTTAGGGTTACAGGAAGGCTTCCCCTGAAAGACCCCACAATCTCTAATGGTCCTTGGTTTTGAAATTCTGTCACTGAATCTGATTATTTAGATGAAAGGCATGGTATCTCCCAGAATATCCTGTGACTGTTCTCATTAGCCTGCTCATCAGATTGCTTTCCAACCAAAAAAATTCTGTTCTACCAAGGGAAGACAAGTCGCCCACCTAAAATCAAGGTTGGCAGTGGTGGGGGTGTTTCCCTGAAAAGAAGGGCATCTTTATCTCAAAGCAGCAGTTCTTGTCGCCAGGTATTCAGCATCCCTTTGAAACCCACTTGTCAGCTTCTCTGTTTGGAGCGCTGCATTTGCCCTTCTAATGTTTTTATCTTAGTTTGCTGAGTGCAGCTAAGAATCTAGAGCAGTGGTTCTCAAACCAGCATCATTTGCATCCGCTGTGAGCTTCTTTGAAATGCAAATTTGAAGGCCTCACCCAAACCTACTGAATCTGAATCTCTGGTGCTGGGGTAAGGGAGATTACCTAAGCAAGCTCTTCTGGGGATGCCTATGCCTCTTCTGAACAATTGCTCCGGAAGAATACCTGTACAGGACTGCACTGAAGCCTCGGGATAAAAAGAAAACAGATTAACTTGCTTCGAGATATCCTACTGATAAGATATGACTTGATCTCTCTGACATATGACCCTCAACATAACTAGTTCCTAGCTAGCCATTTCTGAAGGACCCCAAACCTAGACTTTTGACCCCTTTGAAGTCAAGATCAGAAGTTCTCAAGATTTTAAAATGTCGAGCTTCCCTATTGCCCCCAAACTGTTCAAATGCCCTTGATAATAGGCATACTTTTATGTGCATACTCTATATATTGAGGAAATACATATAGAGTCTATTTTGAAAATTACAAATTCATTTAAAAGATATATGAAGTAAGTTAAGTAGCCATGTATATTTTTAAAAAATGGTACATATATGTATGAGATACTCGTTTTACAGATAATACTTGGTGGATTTGGATTCATAGCAATGTCTTCAGCTTACTCCTTGGCCCCCTCAATCCCTGCAGCTCACAGTTTGGGAACCATTGCTCTAGACCAAAGGAAATGAAGCAGAGCAAGAGTTTAGAGTCCCTTCTTTTAATTGGAACAAAGTCTGCCTTCTACATTTTAGTGTCCTATTCAAGAGGCCCCCTCCCCTCAATGAATAATTTATACCCCTTTCAGAGAAAATTCTACTTGCTTCCCACGGCCCCTCCTAAGGTTTGAATAATGGTGTCCTCTCCAAAATTCATATTGAAACTTAATCCCCATGGTGGCAATATTAAGAGTTGGGCTTTTGGGGGAGTGATTACGTTATGAGGGTTCTGCTCTCCTAAATTGATTAGTGTCTCATGAAAGGCCTGGAGGGAATTAGCTTAGGCCCTTTTTGCCCTTCTGTCAGGCCATAAAAAGACACCTAGGTGGCACCATGAGGAATGGCTGGCCCTTCAGCAGACCAAACCTGCTGGTGCCTTGCCCTTGGACTTCCCAGCCTCCAGAACTGTGAGAAATAGATTTCTGTTATTTGTAAATTACACACTTGCAGATTTTTTGTTGTAGCAGCACAAACAGACTAAAATGGCCCTTATAGTTAGAACTTCAGAGGGACAAACATCAAAATACAGCCCAAAAGCCTAATGTCTGCAAGAGCTATACATTTATAGAGTTGGGCAGACATTTGTTATACAAATTCGGATTGTAGATTCCAGTGAGAATGGAACCTCAGTTAAATGTATGTATTTTTTTAATAAACTTTGCAGTATACACAGAAACACAAATCATAAGTGTATAGCTCTGCAAGTTTTTGCAGAGTGAACATAACTGTCTGTCAATACTCAGGCCAAGAACAGGAACTTTATCTGTCCTCCAGAAAGCCCCTGGAGCACCATCCTAAATCTTCCCCTCCCCTTTGAGTAACCAGCCCCATGCCCTCTAACACCATAGATTAGTTTTGTCTTTTTTGAACTTTATTTAATTATATAATATGTGCTTTTTAATGTCTGACTGCTTTTTTTTTAATATATACTTTTTTTTTGCATTTTAGGTTTTGGGGTACATGTGAAGAGCATGAAAGATTGTTGTCTGACTGCTTTTGTTCAACAAGTTAGTGAGAGTCATCCATGCTGTAGGAATAGTTGGCTCATTCTTGCTGCTAAATAGCATATGATTGTTTGACTCTACTACCATTTGTTCTGAATCCACTTGTTTCTAGTTTGGGGTTATTATGAAGAGACCCATTAAGGACATGCTTGTACTTGCCTTTTAATAAACATACACTCATTTCTTTTGGGCATATATCTAGGAGTGGGATTGCTGGATCACAGTGTGTCTGTATGTCCAACATACAGTTCAAATGCCCTGAACAGTTTTCTGAGTGATTGCATCCTCACTTGAGCTTGAACACAGGAAAAGGATGCCCACTATCATCACTTCTGTCCAACATTGTATAGCCATAGCAACAAGTGAGGAAAATTAAGCAGTGGTATAATGATTGGAAAGGATGAAACAAAGTTCATATTAATATAGCCAATATAATGTACACAGAGAAAATCCAAAGTAATCTACAGGCCAGGCAAACCATTAGATTAATAAATGACTTGAGGCTAGGTGCAGTGGCTCACACCTGTAATCCCAGCACTTTGGGAAGCCAAAGTGAGAGGATCACTTCAGGCCGAGACTAGCCTGCAACATAGTGAGACTCCATCTCTAAAAATAAAAAATAAAAAGGACTGGGTGCAGTGGCTCACACCTGTAATCCTAGCACTTTGAGAGGCCAAGGATAGGCGGATCATGAAGTCAGGAGTTTGAGACCAGCCTGGCCAACATGGTGAAACCCCATCTCTACTAAAAATAGAAAAATTAACCAGGCGTGGTGGTGTGCGCCTGTAATCCCAGCTACTCAGGAGGCTGAGGCAGGACAATTGTTTGAACCCAGGAAGTAGAGGTTGCAGTGAGCCAAGATCATGCCATTTCACTCCAGCTTGGGTGACAGAGTGAGACTCTAACTTAAAATAAATAAATAAGTAGAAAAAAATTGAATTTAGCAATATAATTGAATAAAAAATATTTTAAAATCAGTTGTATTTCTACATAGAGCAGCAACTAGAAAATTCTAAACATTGGAATATAAACTATTCAGGAAAATTCTTAGCAAAAGATTAGCAAAACCTCTAGTCTGAACACCACAGCATATCACTCAGAGGAACCAAAGAAGAACTAAATAAATCGAAGGATATATGATGTAATGTCTTAGAAACTTTAGTATTGTAAAGTTGCCAATACTTCTTAAAGTAATGTATGAATTCAGTGCAATCTCAATCAAAATCCCACCATATTTTTAGTGGAAGTTGACAGGCTGATGCTAACATTTACAAATAAAAATGCAAGGGGCCAAGAATAGCCAAAATAATCTTAAGGAAGAAGAAAATGGAGGTTTTACCTCACCAGATAATAAGAGTTACTCTAAAGCTACGATAATTAAAACTGTGTTCTTAGTGTGAAGATAGACAAATAGAAAAATGGAACAGAATAGAGTCTAAAAATGAACTCAAGGGCCAAAAATAGCCAAGAAGAAGAACAGATCTGGAAGACATTATCCCTCCAGATATCAAAATCTCTTATAAAGATGTGTGGTATTGATGCAAGGAAAGGCAAGCTGACCA